CCAGTTTCGGTTAACCGGTTTTTTAATTGGTATGAACCCGTAACCAAACTAGAAAACCGGTTCAACAATTTTTCAAACCAAAACAGAACTAGTTTGTCAGTTTGGTTTTCGGTTTTTTTTTCCCTCACCCCTCATAGAATGAGTATGCCATGTTATTATGATAAAAGTCATTTTCTCTTTATTTGTTGTTTAATTAAATTAGATTGTATTAATTTTAAAAATGAACAAAAATATTAATATATTTATTGATCTCCATTCAGAGAATGCGATGCATCCTTTTGCATAGATAGTTGAAGGGTATCTAGGCAATGAATGGTAGGCTACGGGCTATGCGTTGCTCACCACTGCATTATTTAAGTGTTCAGATATTTATTGATCTTTATTTAGAGAATGTTCATAGATGTTGTATAAGAGATTTTTTTTTATCTATGCACAAACAACTTAAAATTCGATTAAGGCAACCATTGTAATCCAAGTGTTCATATTTCGTTTGGTATAGTTTTGTTTATTAATAAGTGCTAATTTTCGTATTGGAAGGAAAACATTATTCATTGTTCGATTTGGCAGGGAACTATGGAATCCGGAGAGCGAAACGTGGTATTGGAAGCAATTTTTTACAACAATGAAGATATTGTTTGAAATTGAATTTTTATCACAAATGTCTTAATTATAATTAAATTTATAATTGTTGGCATGAGTCAGGTGTATAATAACTCTTATCATATAATTAAATTAAAATATTAGATTTGTTCTTGGTAACAAACCAAATAACAAATTAAATTTTTTAAAATATCTCATTGAAATTTGATTTTCAGACTTAACAATACGAGAGACAATTAAATGAAAGTTGAAATCATTCTCTCTCTCACCATTAAATCATTTTTTTACTTTTTAATTCAGCAAAAACAAATAGGTTTTTTTATATATGAATCACCCTAGAAAAAGTCAAATATATTCCTATTTTATTCTAATCAATTGATCCAACAAGCATTTTTTATAAAAAATAATAGGGATATTATCAATTTAGATACAACTTTTTTTATGAAATTCTAAAAAAAAGTTGACACAAGTCTCAATATGTTCAATCTAGGGACTCTAAGCTAAATTAATAACTATGTTCAATTTAGGGACAAAACAAACAAAAGTTTCAATTTGTACAATTTAGAGACACTAAATAATAACTTTCTTCAATTTAGGGACACTTGCTATTAATTTTAACACAAAATAACAAAAGCCTTAGATAGCTCTAGTTATTTATTTGGTTTTAGTCTTTCCATTTTCAATTTGAAAACTTAAAAAAATTAGTTAAAAATTAAAAAAAAAAAAAATTGGTTGATTTCAAAGTTTAAATATTAAAAACAATAACAAAACAAGAGAAACAAAAAAAAATCAAATAATTTAAATAAAAAGGAGAAAAACCGTTTTTAAAATTAAAAAAAATAATAAAAAAATTTACATAAAGAAGGACAACCACTATTATTTTTAAATTTAAAAATTAAAACATACTGTCAAAATATTTGTTTTCCTTTTCAAAATTTTACTTTTTTTTTTTTAAATATTTATTTTATTTTTAAAAAAACTTTAGACGCGTGTCAACGTTTTATTGGGTAGAATTATTTTAGTAGACTTTCTATTGCTTTTATTTCTGTTATAATTTATACAATTACTAATTTGCCTTTTTTACTTTTAAATGTAATTGTAATTAATAGCAAATGTCCCTAAATTGAATAAAGTTACTATTTTGTGTCTCTAAATTGAACATAATTACTATTTTAGTGTTGCTAAATTGAACAAATTAAAACTTGTGTTATTTTTTTTAGCATTGTGTGATAAAATTGTACCTAAATTGATATGTATCAGTAAAACCAATTAGGCTCCTTATGAGTAAAAGCCACAAAAGACGGCGTCGTCCTGTTGCCTTGATCATTGCCTATGGTCTCCACTCTCTCATTTTTCCACACAGCCACGCACAGCATGAGTATGTAGTACCAAGACCAATTCCGATCGCTGGTCCCTCTTCCTTTCCGGCCATTATTTCTATGAGTGTGTTCTTTTGTCAGAAGAAAAAATAGAAATTAGTATTTCTGAATAGCTGTGCGATTCTGTTTGAATGAATGTAGGGCTCAATAATCAGTGTATATAGATGTTAATTCATATGAGTTAAATATAAGAGTGAGATTAATATATGTATAAACCAGATATATAGAAATAGTGGAATTAAAACTGAATTACATGATATTATTTATACTGACCACTTTTTGGGGCCAAGGGAATGTAACCAGCTCCCCAAACTCGACATCACATTAATCAAGTAAAGGTTATACAAAGTGATATGTAAGGTTCATTATCAGGAATTAATTCTATGCAGAAACAAGTCTAGAAAATATTATGTTGAAGCGTAATTTTGACACCAACCAAATACATGTGTGAAATATTGAGTTGGCATAAAAAATACACGTGAATGGGAGAATGAGAGTGAAAGGATTAGAGAGCAGTGTTTAAAATGGTTTGGATGCTCAAGAAAACATGTCCTACGTCCACTGGTATTATATTAATAATAGAGATCAGGTCGCGTTCAGTGAACTGATTTCTAAGTGATTACAAATAAAAGAGCGTGTATGCTATTTTAGAGGGAGATTAGCTAATCCCCAAAATGAGAGAAGACTCATCTATTTATAGTGAGATGAGTTAAGGTAATGATTACTAAATCTGAGAGTTGGTCAGGTCATCCTTACAAATCCTTCTTTATGTCCCATTGCCCACCTTCTAGAGCGATTTACGCCATTTAACGCTGGGATTGAACGCGTGGAATCTCTCTAGCTCTTGGCTAGTCTGGCGCACACGTACTGCACTGACAAAAGCATACTGCTCATGTCATCACGCGACGTGGTTGCGTCTGTACGGCTGCGGGTCTACCTAAGCTCTCACTTTTCATGTTGACTGGACTTTGCGTCAACCCTACTTTTTCAGGTATAAAATATTCATTTAAAGAAACTCACCGAAATTTAAAGGAAAGAAAATACAATCATAAGTACGCTTCTACATGGCATATTCAAAATACTTAGAAAACTTTAGTCAATATTCTCAATCTGGACACCACCCAGGGCATAGGTTGGGAAAGCTTTGTCATCAATGCCAACTTCTACTCAGCACCATCGCCGTCCGAAAGAATTTTACTAAGTACGCTTCCACGGTGAAATCGTTGTCTTATGTTATTTTCTAAGTTCAGGCCCCTCCTCGTCATAACCTTTAATTTCTAGTTTTATTTTCTTTTAATTCATTGTTCATCACTTTTAAATCCACTATCCCTTTCTTTTTTCTCTTCATACTGAAAGATCTTAGAATTTTACTATGTTTTATTAATATGAACGGTATCACACAATATTTTCGAATTTATAACTAAAAATTGCAAAAAACTGTTGTTTCTGAAATTCATTAATTCTGCATTTTGTTAACTAATATATTATAGTATTTCAAAATAATAATATATATTGTTTTTTACATTATATTGTTTCAAAATAATATAATCCTTTTATATTTATTTGTTTCGTCAAATATTCACTTGAAAATTCTACATGAATTAATGAATATTAAAATAATAAAAATTGTTGAAACCACTGTAACATATTTTTAGACTGACGTTTAGATATGAATTTATGCGAATTAAATATAAGAGTGATATTAATGACGTTTAGACAACGACGACTGTGTAGATGTCACGGGAACTTGGTAATAAATGGTGAAAATTAACTGGGCTGAAAGCCTAAAACTAGTCGACTTGGCAACTAATTAATTTACAACAAAACCCTGCCACTGCAAGCCCAACAAATCAAATCAAGTCATGCAAGCAGCCGCAGTTTCATTCAAGAGAAATCAAGGTCCTCATCTTACTAAATACTAGGTGTTCGAGTCAGTTTGTGTATACCTCAATTAATCTTTGAGATCCATTGAATACCCTACAAACTCAAAGGATCAGTTAAATCACCATGTTATTGTAATAGGTAACTATAAAGTTTGAATCCAAAAACTCAAAGAAGAGAACAAACCTTCTTGACTGTCAGGCCAAACCCTTGTATCATGTACTAAAACACGAAAAAATAAGAGCGGTGGTGAGAAGTAATCTCGCTTCTCATCAAGGGTCCTCTCAAACTTATATTCAATACATATTACTAGCATGGAGAAAGTAAGAAATGTTGTTTATCATGAACAAGATGAAAAGAAACATGCACATTACCCTTGGTTTATAATTTTTGAAGGGTTTATGGAAATTGTATAATAAAATAGAAAAGGAAATTCCTTTTTTCTGCAGTCGTTAATGCATAGAAAATGTAAAGATTTATAAATTATGAAGATTTAGAAAGATAAAGCTGACATCATTTTGGATTATTGATGTTGAAGTTTAGTTTTCTTTCCTTAATATGTTGGAAACTAGAAACTAGAATGGTTTTTATTTTTTTTCCTCAGAAGTGAAAAAGAAAAAAACTTCTTCTACTTGTAATCTAGAATAAATTGTTTGATATAAATAGTATCCAATTTTTTTTTTGAATTATTATTAATTAATAATTTATCTAATATAATTTTTTATTACATTTTTAAATATTTATTAAATACTCTTCAGAATAAAAATTTAGAATTTTAAAAAATAAAATCTCTTTTTTGGTAACTATAGTACATCTAACAACAATTTTAAAATTTAATATATCAAACACATAATCATAATTATAGATTTTGAGAATTACATCGATCATGAAAATAGTATTTACCAGACACTTTTAAATTATTTTGAAAGCTTGATTATTTTCAAAATTGATTTAAAGCTACAATAATCTCAAATAAATATTTAATATCAACAGTTTCTTACAAAGTTAAACGATACCGTAAATAAACATTTCATATTAATATGAAGGAAACATACAGAAAACTTCCAATTCCAGTACTTTCGACTTTCGGTGTTACAACACATGCAGCCACAAATGTAGCACACGACACAGCAAGTGGAGGATTGACAGCTAAAACATACCAATATTAGTCTGTGAGCCAATCGAGGACACCTCCGGGGTTGCCTGAAAGAAAATCGGCACCTTTCGAACAGACACGGACGCCAAGCCATAACAGACGCATTGCCTTACCAAAGTTGCCGCCCGTCTCGGGCCTTAAACAACTTCCACTGCCTGCCCATGCACCACTTCCACGGCCTGCCCATCCACCACTGCCACTGCCTGCCCCTGCACCTGCCCATGCACCCCTTCCACTGCCTGGTGGAACGTTATAATCCATGCCTCCTCCCATGTAAGTTCCAGACATCTTAGCAGAATTTGGATTGCAGATGCTTATCACCGACTTCAACTTATACTTCAACGCATTTGCGTTATGACGACCCTGATTACCATCTAGCCATTGAATGAATTCGTCGATGGCACACTCAATTTTCTTATTGTCAGCTGTGGCATCACCCATGTCAGCTTCAGCACCTTGATACATCTTAGCAATAATTGGAATGCAGATGCTCTCCAACTCCTACATCTTATCCTCGAACTCATCTACCTCGGCAAGCTCATTGCCATACAGTTGAATGGCTTCTACGATGGCATCCTCAAGTTTCTTCTTATCAGCTGCGTCAAGCTTGTAATCAATCTTCTCATCCCAGAGACTGTTCCTCAGGTTGAAAGCATAATTCTCCAAGGCATTCTTGGCCTCAACTTTCTTCTTGTGCTCTTCATCTTCTGCCTTGTAGTTTGAAGCCTCCTGAACCATCTTCTCTATTTGGTCCGTAGACAACCTACCCTTGTCATTGGTGATTGTGATCTTGTTCTTCTGGCCGGTTGTCTTGTCCTCAGCTGAGACATTTAAGATACCATTTGCATCAATATCAAAGCAAACCGTGATCTGAGGAACACCCCTCAGGGCTGGAGCAATGCCAGAGAACCTAAATTTTCCCAACAAGTTGTTATCCCTGGTTCTTGTTCTCTCACCCTCATAGATTTGAATCAGGACAGAGGGTTGGTTGTCTGATTTGGTAGAAAATACTCGTTCCTTCTTAATAGGTATAATTGTGTTTCTTGGGATCAAAACAGTCATGACGCTTCCTGTAGTTTCCAACCCAAGGGACAGGGGGGTAACATCCACAAGCAACAAGTCCTGCACCTTCTCGTTGCCCTCTCCACTCAAGATGGCAGCCTGAACAGCAGCACCATATGCAACAGCCTCATCCGCATGAATATTCTTGCAAAGCTCCTTTCCATTGAAGAAGTCTTGCAAAAGCTGTTGCACTTTTGGAATCCTAGTTGAACCACCAACAAGCACAACATCATGGACAGTGCTCTTGTCCATCTTAGCGTCTCTCAGACACGTCTCAACGGGCTCCATACACTTTCTAAAGAGATCCATGTTAAGGTCCTCAAATCTGGCACGAGTAATGGTTGAATAGAAATCAGTAACCCCATACAATGAATCAATTTCAATTGTTGTCTGAGCAGTAGATGAAAGGGTCCTCTTAGCTCTCTCACAAGCTGGCCTCAATCTCCCAAGAGCCCGGGCGTCTCCACTAATATCCATCTTGTTCTTTCTCTTGAACTCCTCAACAAAGTGATTAACCATTCTGTTATCAAAATCCTCACCACCAAGATAAGTGTCTCCAGCAGTGGCCTTGACTTCAAAGATATTCTCTTCAATGGTAAGCAAAGACACATCAAAAGTCCCACCACCCAGATCAAAGATCAACACATTCTTCTTACCAACGCTGGTGGCCTCCTTGTCAAGACCATAAGCAATGGCTGCAGCAGTGGGTTCACTGATAATACGCATAACATTGAGTCCAGCAATAACACCGGCATCCTTTGTAGCTTGACGCTGAGAGTCATTGAAGTAAGCTGGGACAGTGACGACTGCGTTCTTAACAGTTGAGTCAAGGTAAGCCTCAGCAATCTCACGCATCTTAATGAGAACCATAGAAGATATCTCCTCAGCAGAAAACAGCTTCTTTTCACCATTGTAGTTAGCACAAATCATGGGCTTGTCTCCAGTCCTGGGGATGACTTCGAATGGCCAGAGCTTGATATCACTCTGAACTGAAGCGTCACTGTATCTCCTACCAATCAACCTCTTGGCACCTAAAATAATAAACAGTGTTCAATTAATACGAACAGCTCTACAAAACAAATAGTACACATGTAAGGTCTATATTTGATAATAAATAAATTAATAGATTAATTTTTTAGGAATTTATTTTGAAGCAAGTGTTGAGAAAAGTTTTGAGTTTTTTTACTATCGTACATTGATAGGACTTAATTATAGGAGTTTATGTTTGATGAACCATAATAACTTAAAAATTATTTAAGAAAACTATATAATAAAAAAGAAATATGTATATAAAGTATAAACATATAGAAAAATTGAACAAATATCATTATGTACTTAATCAAACCCAGAAAATTTTGCACTTCCGACTAATATAACATAAACAATATAATAACATAGAACTTATTAGTTAAACAGGAAGGGGCCGTTTGGATCAAGTTGATATTATATAACGGGGTAATATATTTTAAATTGGGTAGATAACCATGTTTGGTTGTTTTGTAAAAAAACATTTCCGAAAAAAAAAAATGTCAAACAGTGCCAAATTGGGGGTAAATCACTAAGAATAATATTACCTAGGGGGAGGGTGATATTAAAATATTACTTCAGTAATCCAAATTTTTGTCCAATTTCGCCCCAAAACCGTGGACAATGTGGACAAAATCATCCTTGGCTTTGTTAATAATTACAAAACACGTAATTTGCACAAGAAGACTTATTTGTCCTCAGCTTTTTAATTTTCTAGACAAAATTGCCCTACTTATTATCAATATTTTCATAAATGCCACGAAATATTGTTGTGCCCATATTATCCTTACATATTTGCGTATTGTGACCAATATGCCCTTTTATTTCACTAAAACTACAGCATAGAAAGAAAAAATTCTCAGCCCTAATACAAAATTTTAACAAAAAACCCCTAGGTTTGCTAATTTGACTAAACACCCCAATGTATAAAAAAATTTGTAAAATAACAAAAACACCCCACCACCACAGTGCCAGATTCTGGCCGCCACCACCAGAATCTGGTCGGAATCTACTGTTACGACTCAGACTGGTCGAATCTGGCCAGTGGTGTGTCGATCTGGCCTTTTTCGGCCAGATCCGTCACCGATCTAGTTGGAAAAGGCCAAATCTACAGCCAGATCTGGCCGTCGACAGCCGCAAAATGTCACATCCATTATGGTTCTGGCCAAAAAGGCCAGATCGATGAATAAACGGCTATTTTCGATCGTTTTTAGGCCGTTGTAACAGATTTCGGCCACCATTGATGGTGGTTGTCGGAATCTGGCAACTATGGGTGGGTGGGGTTGTTTTTGTTAATTTTTAAACTTTTTTTCTATGGGTGTTTAATTAAGTTAATAAACTTAAAGGGACTAAAAGTAATTAAGAAAATAGAATAGTATTTCCCAAATAATTAAACAAACAAGTATTTTGGGAATAGGATAGGGAATAAGGTTAGAAATAATAAAACAAACAAGCCCTTAATTATTTATATCGAGTAATCATCTAAAGGACATTTAGTAAAATGTAATCAAGACATCTGCTCTTACAGCCAACCAAACAGATTAATTAGTAATACAAGTAATCATCCAAGGGCATTCTAGTAAAAGGGTATTTTAGGACATCTATTATTATTATCAACCAAACACATTAATTATTAATACATCCCAATTGAACCAAGCACAACAATAATTTAAACCCGGTAATCTACAATGTAATCTTTCTTTCCGGTAATCTTATTACTAAGATAAAAAAAACATTTTATGATCCAAATGCCCCCAAAAGGTAAAAAGTTTCATTAATTAGAATTAATCCTCATATATATTACAGTTTAGAAATTTTTACTTTCTATGAATATATATAAAAATATAAAAGCATAAATCTAAACACAATAATATATTGATAAGCAAAAAGCAAGTAAAAAATTTTGTTCGCTAATTTTATTTATATTATACATTACAAATTTTTCATTAAAGAAAATAACCTACAGGGTGCGTTTGGTTCAGAGAATGTTGGATCACTGAGAATATTAGATTACTGAAATATTAGATTACCTTGAAGATTACTAGGAATCTTTAGAAAAGGAGAAATGTCATGCTTACTCACCATCTTACTATCCTTTGTAAATATAACGCATAGTACGGGTACCATACGCATAGTATGGGTATTATGTGTAATTTTAACAAAGGTAGTAAGGCGGTTAGTAAAACCTGTACGTGAGTAAGGATAGTATTTCTGTTAGAAAAATATGTTTGGTTAGTTGGAATAAATTGGTGGGTATGTCATATTAATATTTTTGGTTGTGAGTAATGAATTGGTGGGTATGTTATATAAATTACTAAATTGCCCTCTTTTTAAATATTAATATAATATCATTTTTAACCCCCAACATGTAAGATATAGCTAAAACACCCCTGCTTATATAAAACTTTAATTTATAACAAAATCACCCACACCACCTGAGGCCACTGCTCGCCACCGTCGGCCGCCGTGAGAGGTCGCTAAAAGTCACATAGAGTCGTCGTGAGTAGCCCACCGTAACCGAGAGGCTCTAATATGGCCATTTTTGGCCATATTGGAGCAGATCTGGTTGTTAATTGTCAGATCTGCTTCGATATGGCCTTTTAAACCATCAATATAGCTGGAAACGACCATATCGGAGCCTCCCAGTTATGGTGGACTACTCACGACGACTCTAGGTGACTTTCAACGACTTCCTGTGGCAGCCGACAGTGGTTTGGTTGGCGACAAGCGACGACGAGTGAGTGGGGGTGGTGGCTCAGGTGGGCTGCAATTTGTTTTGACTTCAAGGATAATTTTGTCCAAAAAGTTAATTAATTGGGGTGAAATAGTAAAAGCCAATTCATATAAATTAATTTAAAAATAATGGTATTATTGTCCTAAAATTTTATTAATAAGGAATAAAATTGTAACAAAAATAAGATTACCTTGGTAATTTTACAATACTTAAAAAAATGGAGATTATTAGATTACTTCCAATATTACCAATAGTAACTACTATTGGTATTAGAAGATTACCGAAATCTTATATTACTTGATAACTAAACGTGATAATTACCCCCAACCAAACTTCCCATAAGTTCAACAAAATAAAAACAAACCTGTACTATCTGTAATTAAACAAAAAATAACACTACCACTAGATTCATTAATGGTAAAGAATGCTTACCAAAAATGGTGTTAATTGGGTTCCTAGCGGCTTGGTTCTTAGCAGCGTCACCAATCAGACGCTCTGTTTCTGTGAACGCTACGTAAGACGGTGTCGTTCTGTTCCCCTGATCATTGAATATGACCTCCACTCTGTCGTGTTTCCACACGGCCACACAAGAGTAAGTTGTTCCTAGATCGACACCGATCGCCGTTCCCTTTCCTTTTCCGGCCATTCTCACGAAACAATGTTGTAATGAACTTAAATTCTACGAAAAACGAAAGAAGATGTGCATGGTTCGGTAGACTAGTTGAGTTTATAAAGATGTTATGGGAGACTCGTTGTACATTTGAATGTTATGAGCAGACATGCTCTTGGCCTCTTGCTCTTTCTTTCTTCTAGCAATGCCAAATTGACCGAGTCCTACTAAGACCCAAGAGGACTGACTCGCTTAAAACCCGAACTGCGTGTTGGGACTTGGGAATGCAGACTCGACCATCCCATGAAAACGATTAAAATTGAAAATAACAAGATTTAAGCAAAATTAAGATTGGCCCAACTTCCTTTCCGTGTGGAAGATTTCTGAATAGACTTCACTGATCGCAAATCGCACAGCTGTAGCCGACGACTGGACCTCTGCTTAGTTGTTATGATGAGGAGGGGCTTGTCCTTGTTGGCTCCGAGTTGACTCAAGTATCTCCACGTACATCTTTGTCAAGAAGTGAAAGTGAAGATATGCATACTTGATATGATATTTACGTATAGAAATGTGTAAAGGGTGCGTTTGGTTCCCTATTTCTATTCATACCTAATCTATTCTCCAAATAATGTTTGGCACATTATTCCAGAAATATATGTAACGCCCCGCTTGAGGTACGTTGTTATTGTTTCCTCTTTGCCCTTAATCGAGTTGGTTTTGTTATTAATTGTTTGATTGAGTGTTGTGTTGAGTTTGCCCTGAAAATTGGTTGAAATCAGAAGAAGTTCAGTCTGCGTGCTTCGCCGGGCGAAGAGAAGCTTCGCCGCGGCGAAGATGTGTTGAAACCAAGGGGAACTCCTTGGACAGTTTCGCCGCGGCGACAGAGGTTTCTTCGCCGCGGCGACAGGCCGAATAAAAGGTTGATTGAGTTTTAGATATTTTCTTCCTTAAGGACAATTTGACCTTCTACCCCTAATTAGCGAAAAGTGGGGAGTTAATTGTAAGGATTTTTCATGGAGAATAGTTGAGTTAGGGGTGAGTTTGTAATGAATCAAAGGATATGGATGGAATTTCCAAAGTAACAAGGGCAAAATGGGAATGAGTGTGTTTTATATTTCATTAAAAGAATAGAATCAAAGAAACCCTCATTTTTCTTCTTCTCAAACGGGACTCTATTTTCTCCTCTCAACTTCTCTTTTTCTTTGATCAAGGATTTCCAAGGATTTTTGAAGGGTTTGTGGGGTAGAAAAACAACCTAAGGCTTCCTAGATAAGATTTCTTCTTAAGTTGTGTGATTTGGGAGTTTTAACCCATATTAAGTTTGAGGGTTTTCATTCTTTTGGTTAAGATTAGAGGAGAAGTCAGCTAAACAAGTGAAAGGAAGAGTTTGTGAAGTCTCTCCTTAACAGGTAAGTAAAACCCAACCCAAGTTGAGATTTATGAATTTTCTTGATTAGGGTTTTGATAGAATGAGTATGTATGTGATGTGCATGTAATATAGCATGTATGAAGGATCAAATAGAGATTTCTATGCTTTGTGATTGTTTATACCTTGCAAATTTGAAAAATGGGTTGTTGGTTTGGCAAGGTATTGAGATGGAATTTAGGGTATTATGGATCCCCTTTTTGGAGTGTTTTCTATGGCAGGTTTTGTGGCTTTGTGGAGGGGTTTTTCCCCATTTTGGATGGTTAAGAAAAGTTTTAGAATCATGGCTATGATAGAGTTTATAGTGCACATGAGTTGTTTGATGAAATGCCTAATAGAGGTTGAGTGTGAGTAACGAACCTAATTCTTGCAACATTGCATGTTGGCATCCATAAGTGCACATCTCATAGTCATGGTGAAGATGAACCATCCATAGGCACTAGTTGTACATGGAAAAGTGCCTAAGAAAGTGTAAGAAGTGTTTGTGCAATTACCCTATGAGTAGAGAGCTTAGTGGGTAAATTACTCTAAGGTAGAGAGCATTGAAAAATGCTACAATAGAATATTAGAATAGTATAGTTGGGATGATGCTTTGTGATCTCACCCGACCGTTATGGGAATCGGATTGATCTTGGTGATCATCATCCGAATAGCCCTTAAAGTGATGGGTCGATGCTTTGTGATCGTCACCCGATGAGTAGTAGAAATGGTAGATGCTTTGTGACCCGCTACCCGGTTAGTGATAGATAAGTAGGTTGATGCTTTGTGATCATCATCCGACATTTAGTAGAAACTGGTTGATGCTTTGTGACCATCACCCGATAGTGACTAGAGAGGGTAAATGTTTGGTGATCGTTACCCAAAATTCATGAGGAACGGTAGGCGCTAGGTGATCTCCACCCGATAGTTAGAAAGAACCGAGTTGGTGCTTTGTGATCCTCACTCGGTAGTCACTAAGAACGGTGTGGTACTGTGTGAATTCCACCCGATAGCCATAGAGAGTGAGATGGTCTGTGTGAACGCATCCAGCCGTACCTCCGGTAAGATGAGGCCATGATGTTATTAGAAACAGAAATAGAATCAGAGATAGCATAAGGAAAGAATTAAGAGTTTATCATACGGGGACAGACAGATAGAGAGTTTTACTTACTGAGCATTATTTTGTGCTCACCCCGTTATTTTCCTTTGTGGATGCAGGTTCTAGGTGATGTTGCGGTCGGAGGGCGTCGGCAAGCAATGAGGAATAGCTACACTGTTTCCCCTGTTTTGTCTTTTAAATACATTTTTGTAAACAGTACTTTTTATGTATAAAAGACACATGAATTGTAATGAAAAGAAAACTTTGGGCCCAACTTTTCTATTGTTATTATGCATGCATTGTACAGTTTTCAGTAGATGTTACATATTACCCTTTTTTTTTAATTAATTTTAGACCCCATAAGGTTATAATTTCATTAAATACCCCTGAAAAAAAGTTTAAATTAACAAAATACCCCATCAACCTATACTTGCCAGATTCCACAACCACCGGCGCGATAGCCGAAATCTGTACAACAGCCACCTGTCGACCATAATGGCTGGAAGTTCACCTATCTGGCCTTTTTCGACCAAATCCATCACGGATCAGTCGAAAAAGGCCAGATCTTTGGCCATCGTTGACCAAAATGACAGCTACATCTTTCGCCATCGTTGACGGCAAAGATGGACTTCTTTTGACGTTTTTTCGGTCGTCGACGACAACATTTGGCCGTAAATCTGGTCTTTGCCAGCCAGATCCATGGTGGATCTGACCCATTGTGGATCTGACCGGAAAATGCCATAACATGTGTTACGCACAGATCTAACTGATCTGTGTCGTAACAAAATTTTTGGCCAGATTCCAAAGGTGGTGGCGAAATCTGACACTGTAGTGGTGAGGGTGTTTTTGTCATTTTATATATTAGGGTCTTTAATTAAATTAGTAAACCTAAGGGTTTTTTCATAAATTTTTAAAGTTTACCTCGTAATACTCCCCTATCCAACAACCCATATTATTCCCAAAATCTTATCCAAAATAATGAACCAAACGCACTCAAAGTTATCGAAAAGTTTACATCGAATTTCTGCATCGAATGACGTGACAAAATCTACCGTTGATTAATATTAACTTATAATAAATCAACGGTCAGGATTTAGCCATGCATTCGGTGCACAAATTCGGTGCCACCTACCAGTAACTGTAGCATTACTCTTTACGTATATAAGGTTATAATATGGTATTTATTTATTTTTTGACTTAATTTTTAACAATATCTAATAATTATTAATTTAAATAAATATAATAACGAAGTATTTGCAAACTAATATTTCGATGCTAACCAGCAATTTTTTTGTTACTATATTGTTGTGTGGAAAATCCGGAGAGGATAATTCTCTATTATGAGAGAAATTAGATTGACTCATTTGAAGGAGATTTCAGATTGATTTAGACTCCAACTAAGGTAGTAGGAGATTATGCAACTTCCTAATTCTACGTATTGGAATATCTCAACTCTATCATGTAATGAGTGCTATATAAATCCTCATCATGTTTTCAGGGGGGCTGGGCAATTATTTAGAAAAAGATTCATCATTCGTAATTCTTATTCAATAAGAGAAACAATGGACGGAGGCTCAAGATCAGACTTGCCAACCATTTTAAAAATTACCTCCTGTCATCGCTCAATTTCTCCTTAATTATTTAATTACGGATTTTCATTAAATCATGCACACATCCATTCCATTCTGACAGGGTCAATCAGAATTCTCTATTTAATACAGATTATGTATTAACATATTGATTAGGCGAATATGTACAATTATGGGATAAAACAAATAGAGTCAAAAATAACTGAATCATATGATATCTTATTGAAAAAGTTTTAGAAAAAATGAGAGATTATTATATATATTATTATATATTTTTTTGGTCAATAATTTATTGTATATATCATTTTTGTATGATCAATTTATATGATCTTTGACTAATTTCTCTTTAAGACAAAACCTTAACGATTAAGAATTAAATTGATATTGACTATACAGAGGAATTTCTCCTGAAGTTTTAACGTTAAAAGTGCAAACATAATAGTTTTGGCCTTTGGTTTTACGTCAGCACCTCTCAAGAATATTTGATGGATTTTTTGTTAAATATATAGTATATGTATTTGTTGTATGCTAAATGTTGTTAAAAGTAATGCAAATTTAAAAGAAAGTTATATATTTTTTGTAATTATTTAAAAAAAAAAAAAAGAATCGTGTTGATGGTGGGGGGATGCCAAATTGACCCAAGAGCTCTTAAACCCGAACGGCGTATCGAGACTGCAGGCTTGGATATCCCATTGACTCAAGTAAAGAGACCAAACATGAACGATTAAAATTAAAAATAACAAGATATAAGCAAAATTAAGATTGGCCAATTTCCTTTCCGTGTGGAAGATTGCTGAATAGTAGACTTCACTTATCACAAATCTAACAGCTTTAGCCCTCTACTGAGTCGTTATGATGAGGATGGGCTTGTCCTTGTTGGGTGCCTCGGTCTTCACTCAAGAATCTAACAGTAATCTGAAGCTAAAGATTAGTGATCTAAAGC